CAGAGGAGACACTTGAAACCAAGGCTCTACAGTACCTGGGAGCTGATAAGATGTGGAAGGTGATGAAAGAGAGAAATCAAAGACCATTCGAAGGCTTTGGGCAGACCGATTATTCCACTGAATAAGTGGTGATGTTATAAAGAGAAATCAGTTTGAGAACAAAGATTATGAACTCAGTCTTAGAACTGCTGAATCTGAGATATGAGCTGAGCTAAGACTAGGTGTTCTGAAGGAAGCTCAAAATTCAAGTCTGAAACACAGCTCTTGAGCCTGGTCTTAAGATACAGATGGAGCCACAACTTGGTGGTTAACAGCTGATTGGAAAGAAGACTTGGCCAAGTCCTGCATCTGTGAGAAACAGCTACTGCCAACAAACAGTAACAAGAAAAGCCATGGAAGACAAAAAAGTGACCAAGAGAGTCCCAGCTCCTCCTGGCAGCTCTATGGTAAGCTTGGGAAAGTAATTTAACTTCTGAAAAAAGATAATCATAAGAGACATATACTATAAGGTAGGTCGTTGACAAGATTAAGAGAGATAAAGTAACAAAATAAATAAATCACATTTAGCAACCTAAAAACTAGAGAAGAAAATCAAGAACAAATAGTGTCATGGAAAGCAAAGGCTTGTTTTTGAAGGCAGAATCAGTGAACAGAAGTGGTCCAAAAAATACTTCGGCAAATGCCAAGAGTCTGAAATGAAGAAAGTCCATAAGACAAATTATATTAACCCATCCACTACAATAATTGTGTTATGCATTTGTTTACTGTCAGTTTCAACCATGAGGAAAAGAACTTCGTTTTGTTTTCTGAGATTATTTCCAAAAGCTGACCATCACAGATGCCTAATAAATATGAACAAAAAACCTGACCTCCATCTTTATGAACAGTAGGTACACTTAGAATTCAGCAGAATTCTCTAGAAAAGCACCTGAAAGGCAATTTTCATTCTCCATAGCACCTTGATCTTAAGAAAGAAGTTGAATTATTTTCATAAACACTCCTGGTGCGGTTCCGTAACAGCCACAGATGAGTAAATTTAGAGTCACATTTACAAAAGCATACTTACTAATATTTATTAAATACCTACTAAGTGCATTAGAAAATATAAATTAGAAATAAGAGGTTTGGGGGTATTTCGTGGGAGGGAAAACAGTGATTTCCCAGCATCAGAAAATTTTAAGACTACATAAGTGAATCTACCTATTCCAGAATCTACTTCTCAAGTTCCCAAATGCAGTTTGAAATTTTCTTTATATATGACACTTCTTTCAATACACATGGATTCATATGTCTTCTTTCAACATTTTCTTCTGGACCATTATTGCTCCTAAATATTTTAAAGGTCCTTGTCTATCATTGAGGAGGTTCACCTGTGATTTGAGAGATGCCCAATTTACTTAGGACTAAATAAACAAAAAACTAGTTCAACCTTGATAACCAATGGGCTATAAAAAAAAAAAATGGATACTGAGATAACCACAGGAATTGAATCTTAGAATTGGAAAGAGCACTAAAGGTCACCTGGCCCAGTGAATCACAAACGTCAGGCTTCAATAAACTTTAAACTGGCCAGTGATAAAATGAGGGCAATGTAGAAAGTTTTCCTAAAACTAAATCTATGCCATTTAAGAACTATTCTTTACTCTGAGATTATGTCCTCCTTTAAATTGGGAAGGGGCACTAAAATGTTCTTTCTTTTACAAAATATGACCGTTGATAATTAGTTTATTATCAATAATTTCTTTACTTGGCAAAACAAAAAACTTAGCAATTCTATGTTGGACTTCAATTTTAAAAGTCAGTAAAACTCAAAAATCTGAGAACTTCTGTTATAACCCAAACAATCTTCTGTTTAAATCCCTGAGAACACGGTCAACAAGATGTTTTTCAGCCCATGCTTGAACACCTCTGAAGTTCAAAAGTCTCCAGTGAAGTGGATTCAACCGAAAAAAAAAAAAATATGGTTGTATCTGAAGTATATCTGCTTAGTTTTGAGAAGAAAAAGCTAAAAAGCAAAATCTGTAGAAAGTCAACTTGTGAAAGAGAAACCAGGAGGAAAACAAAGGCCAAGAAAACGGTTCAGTGAGGGGCAGTCAAAGGATGAACTCTGTCCTATACCTCCTTGTCTTCCCTTAACCTAACAGTTATGAAAAGCCTTTTAAAAATAATTCCAAAAGCCAGAATATATAAAAATTTCCTGAGGTCAGAGCTTATCAGTTTACATTTCCTTTTGTACATCTCAGTTATGGCTTGAAACTCCTTTACTAATTACATCGAATTTTTAGCTGCATACCTTTCAGATCAAAAAGCACATGTCCACGGCCTTAACATCACCCAGACTTCAAAATGCAACACACTTAAATACCACATATACTCAAGGAGGCAAAAAAACAGTAAGCAGAGATACTAAAGCCCAATGACAATCTATACGGTAATTAAAAAAGATGAGGAGTGGAAAGGTGAGAAGAGATCAAAACCTAAGATGAACAAGCCCACACTGAAGGAACAAGGGAACCTGAGGCACAGTCGCCTCCATTCCTCCAAGAAGGGAACAGGTGAGATTTGAAATCAATGTAAAACTGACTGCTAGAAGAGAAGTATAAGCAAAAGTATCACACACAGTGCCAGACAGAGAGACAGGCGTTCAAATATCTGCAGAACAAACAAATTAATAAACAGACACTCACAAAAGAGGATCTGAGTCCCAGTTTCCTAACACACCATCCAAGGAACTTTAAGTCCATGTCAAACATCTTGCTTCGCCTTTAAGTTCAGGCTACAAATCTACCCTTATGAAAAACTGAGCCCTCCCAATAATTTCCACTGGCCCCTGTCCTACTCTAGCTCCAGCCCAGGGAAACCCGAAGAAGCTACTTCCCAAAGACACTGCCTGCATTTCTCAAGTTCAGCACCCATGATTCAGAGTAGGAGGAAAAAAACAAGTTAGTGGGAGTGGAAGCAGAAAGGTAAATAACACTCTTGAGTAGCTCTGGAATGAGAATTAATCCCAGACCGACCAAGTGAAAATAAAACCTATTTGTATTTATTATTAAATGAACAATGCAAAAGTCTCACCAACTTTGGCCACCTGTCGTAAAAAGAACTTTTAACGATTCTTTCATCATTGCTGGCATCCCAGGGCTTTCCATTACCTCTCCACTTACCGTTGTTCCAGCGCTACTGATGGAGTCTCAACACCAAAGAACTGTGCTAGACCCCAAAACTCTATTGTTGATCTTTCCTAGATTCCATTTACCCACCTCTGCACGCACACAAATATTTCATCTTTTGCTCTGTTTTTCAATTACAATTTACATTCAATATTGTTTTTTGTATTATTTTCAGGTGTACACCATAGTGGTTAGACAGTCATACACGTGACAAAGTGCTCACTCAGCATTTTAAACTATTTCTATGTAAATCATTGTCTATGTATCTACTCCCTCCCTATAGAGCCTGCTTTTCCACACCCTTTTTTCACCTGCATTCTGAGATCTCCCTGGTCTTTCCTTTTGGTCACTCGGCTCAAGAACTAAGAAGGGATTGCAGAGAACTGATGTAAAGGGGGCTTGCTGCTACAGATAACATTTCCTGCCTTAAGGTGCCTCTTGAGCCTGGACACAACTCACGCTGGTGCTGTGCTCATGCTGCTGATGTTAACAGTCCACCATCATGTTTCCTAGGAGTCAGGAGCCTTCCTGAACCTGCTAAAGAACAAAACCAGATCACAAAGCCCTCAAAGCCACAGTGATCATGAAGCAACCGAGCCCTCGTTCCCACCAGTTCGGGAAGGTTAATTCAAGAGTCTTATCTGCTTCTTAGATCCCCATGACCTGTTCCACTCAAGCTAAAAATTCCATAGGCACTTTTAGAGATTGTAGTTCCAGAATCCTATTAGCTCTCAACATTAGGACTAAACATCAAAACATTATTCAACCCTAGCCTAATGTCCATGCTTTAGCTGGAATGCTACCAAAGAACCGCCAGAGGCTGGGTGCAGTAAAAAACGATAAGGCTCCATGAATGACTCTCACGAAAAGGTAAGCCTTTCTTCAAAATGAGGTGTCTCTGCGGTTTGAAAAGTCAGATTCAAAAGTCTTTTGTTCCTTCATAAAGATTAAACTAAGGAAAGCAAATCAAAATCGAACATTTCAGAACTCAGGGATTTATATAGTTCACTTGTACCAAAATGTTTTTAAAAAATCTTGTACTCCATAATGCAGTACCTTCAGTATCTTCCATGTAATTGTTCAGCTGTTATTATTTCTGCAAAGTAATTTTGTTTCAGGTAATCTTCAATGTATTTGGGTATCACGGAAAAAAGACACCTGTGCCTGGCAGGTCGCTACACTACTAATTTGCCCAGGGTACCAAGGAAACAGAAGATGCTCTGATTTCTGGATACAATTCTCTGCAGTGCCAGGTAAAAGAGGTCACATGCCCTGAACAGCCGCGGATCATTCACTAATGTAAATGCTCCTCAATTAATTTTACTAGAAATTTGGAGAAGCAAGCAACCTAAGATCAATTCATTTAGACGCCGGGCGTCTGGTACTTTCCAGTATCCTTTTTTTCAACGGACTCCCGTGCATCCTATTTCCATCCCTTGGAAAGGGGTCGGCCAGCTGGGCACCAGCAGCCCGTCCATTCCACGGAGGTATACACAGGATGGGGAGTCCCCAGGCACAGACCCATCCCGATTCTCCTATTCGCCTGGGATCGGCAAGACCCTTCCCAGGAAATTCTGGGCAGCGTGTTAAGTCACAGCCTGACCAGGCTGAGTTTCCTCCCGCGACCGCCTCGGGACTGCGGGAACCGCGCCTCGTCACGCCCTGCAGCTCCCACCTCCCGCCGCCCCCGGCTCCCCGGCGGCTGCCGGCGTCCAACGCCGGCGATCACCGGGCTGCCGTCCCCGAGCAGCGCTCGCGGCCAGCGACACGCGCCGCAGAGGCGCGCTTAGCTGCACCGCAGCGGCACAGCCCGCCCGCCCGATCACTCACGCGGGAGGCAACGGCGGCGTCTCCATTGTGGCTCCTCTCGGGCTTCAGAACGCAGGCACCGACCGCCGCCGCCAGCACCATTCCAGCCGCGGACGCCGGCACTGCCCACCCGCCGAGCCGCGTTCCATCCGCCTCACTGAGCGCCACCACCTGCGGCGGCGGCCCCCGCGGCCATGGCCCGCTCGGCCGGGCGCGCTCCGTCTGATTGCGCGGCTACCGCGCTCGCCCGAGTGCGGGGCGGCGGCGACAGCGAGACGGGCGGGCGCGCGGGCTCGGCCACTTCCGGGTTCGGCCCCGCCGGCGCCGACGCCGTGACGGGACGGCGAGGCGGCCTCCCGCGGCGGCCCGGGACCCCTCCCTCGGCGCCTCCCCTTCCTCCTGCTGCTGCTGGAGCTGCTGCGGCGGCTGCGGCGGCGGCGGCGGCTGCTGCTGCGGCGGCTGCTGCTCTTGGAATCGGGCGGGGGTGCCGAGGCACGGGCCCGCGGGGCGGGACTGGGGCCACGGCTCCTGCAGTGGGGTCTGTGGGTCGCCCGGGCGGGAGCGCTAGGAAACTGAACAGGGGTGTTGTCTGTGCAGGAAAAGGGCGCCCGAAAGCACAGCGTAATAGCGCTCGCTATTCACTTGCTGCTCTGCTTCACAGGTTGTTCACATTATTTTGATTTGAGCCTATGCCCAGGAAGGTGGGAAAGATAAGCATGACCAACCAATTCTTCTACAAATGGGGACATCGAGGCAAGAAGAAATGAATTTGCCTATCTAGTGTCCCAAGCAAGAAGCTGGGCCTCCTTCCCGAGTACATGACCCGTTCGAGTGAAGTGAGCACGTACTCGGCAAGGTTTTGGTGCCAGGGATACGAGAGAGAGCAAAACCAGTTCTGCGCGCGTGTGGAGCTGTCCACCTAGACCGATTAGGGAGTCAGGGAACAATGCCTACCATGAAGAAAATTGCTCACGGTGAAAGGATGGGATGCTATCTAAAATAGCATGGAGTGGTCAGGGAAGACCTCTCAAAAGATAACATCAGAGATGGCATAAAATGAATCTCGAGTAATGCAAAGAGATTCAGGACACAGGGAAGAGCAGTGCAGAGACTCCTACGCAAAAATCTTGTCTTGAGGAACGCGAGGACCAATGTAGCAGGTGGTTCTCCAAGTATGCCCGCTGGACAACAATAGCATGTGAGAACTTGTTAGAAATGCGAGTTCTCCAAGCCCACTTTAGAACTACTGAATCAGAAACACTGGGGTCTGTTACAGTCCGGATTATGCTGATCACCATTTATGAGTATTTATGTGTATGTTTCAAAAGGTTCATAATAATTTTTTTAAAGATGACTGGTTGCTATATGAGCAATATATGTAGTGAAGCAAGATAACAAACAAGGAGATTAGCCTAGTGGGATGAAAAACACAGAAGGCCTGGAATAAAGTCAGAGTGATGGAGAGAAGCAGTCAGATTCTGACTCTATTTAAAAGATAAAGCACACAGGAATTGTTGATAGATTAGATGTGAGTATAAAAGAAAGAGCAAGGTCAAAGATGAGCCCAAGGGTTTTGGTCTGGACTCTTGGGAGAGTGGAGTTGACATTTACTGAGACTGGGAAAATAGAGAAGAAACAGATTTGGTAGGGGAGAGGAGTATGTGTAAACTCTCATTGAGACATGGCAAGTTTGAGGTGCCTGTTGAACATCCATGTGAAGGTAGGTGTAGACAGATATATGTATTTGGGGTGGACTGAAATGTGTAGATTGTCAGCATATAGATGGTTTTTAAAGCCATGGAACTGGTTGAGATAACTGGATAATGCAACTGGAGAAAAGAAAGGGACCAAGAAGTGAGCACTAGGGCACTCCGACATTAAGGTGGTAAGATGGTGGGGGTTCAGCAAAGGAGACAGGAGCAGCCAGAGGAGGATCTGAAGTGTCTTGGTAGCCTAGGCTTGGATTTAATCAGCCATCTCATCCAAGAATCTTGAAGCAATTTCAAAATGTTAATTAATCTATACTGAGTTTTTGTTGTTTTCTGAGAAGACAGTGACAAAACCCCTGGCTTTCAGACATAAGCAGGCCTGCCTAAGATTTGTAACAATTTATAAGGCCAAGGTTTCCATTTTCATCTTTGTGTGGGCCAAGTAACTTCACAAAATTGGTACTCGGCCAGATGCAGCCTCAGCACTTACCTCTGGTCTCAGCACCCACAACAACAATGATTGTGAGGATGAACAGAAATCCACCTGTGGGGGAAAATCTTTCAATATGTCTACCTCTGTATGTCAGTTTCACCATTTTCTCAAGTAAAGAACATGAAAGATTAGGAATTGATACCCAAGACCACCAAAAACTTATTTTTATTTCCCCTGGCATACGAACTCATTGGACGTGTACAGGTGTTTGACATCTCCTGCTAAGATTATTAGCTCCATCGACTCACTGGTGATTCTTTACATGAGCCCTTCACTCCCCAACACAGAATAAGATCTTAGAAAAGCCCATCTTTTTCTATACTGTAAAATAGAAGAATTCCTTAGCCAAGTTAGTAACCATAGCTTAAAGCTAATGTAAGTAACCAAAATATCACTTGTAAAAAGGGGGGATAAATGGTGATGAAAGAAGATTTGACTTGGGGTCGTGAATACACAATGTAATACATAGAGAATATGTTATAGAAATGTATACTTGAAGCATATAATTTTAATAACCAATGTCACCCCAATAAATTCATTTTTTAAAAAAGGATCAAACCACACAGAGGAACAAGTCCATGACAGTAGCTGGCGGCAAAAATTACTTAGATTGCGTTGAAATCAGATGTTGCAACAGAACCGCATGGCATGACATGGCAGGCACAGACACACACATGGCAAGAATCTGGGAACTGAGACTTGCTCCTGTGAAGAAAGGACTTAATTTTACCAAAGACTGTAAAAGATCATGTTTTTGTAATCCCTTCCAGTGTAAAGATAGCAAGTATGAAAAGCATCACTCATTCAAAAATAGGGTATTTGAGAAGGTGGAGGCCTTCCAAAATGTCTTCTATCCTAAAGAGTTAGCCTAAAATGGATTACTTGAGTTGTTTTTCTGATTTTAAATTAAGGTTTTTGCTTTTATTCTTTTGATTTGGAAGCAGCTTAGTGTGCATAATATGAAGCATTTCAAAATATCCTTGTGAGACTGTGCTATCCAGCAAACAGATGTGTCAATATACTAAGGTATTTATTACAAGTTTTGTGGTGGTAAAGGTGATGGGAGTCTTCTGCTCTAGACAAATAGAAAATCTTTAATTGAAGGAGCCCTTCATTTCTTTGAGTTCAGTTTACTCTACAAATGCTTGTTTCCTTGTTTTCATTATCTTGACGATACCCACCTTAGCTGGCGTTGTCTCTCCACACCATGCTCCCCTCCTTTCTTGGAGAGTGAATAAAAACTTTACTTTCAAAAAAAAAGATACCCACCTTACTTCCAGCCCAGCACACCTGCTCATTATCCTGTATCAGAAATTCCTGGAGAAGTGAAAGCAAGTTGTTTGCTGTGAACATGTATTGGAAGTATTAGTACAGGAAGTATTCAAAAATAGACCTCACACTAATGCATATCAGGTAGGCAGTTTCTCTGTGTTTTTTTTTAAAAAGGAAATTTACTTAATCTATTTTTACTTGTATACAGTTATATGATATCTATTTATGTAGTCTGGTGATGTAATACCTCATTATGGAATTATCTAGGACTAAATGTCTTTCTACACAGTCAGCAATGCTAGGGGCAAGAATAAAAGCAACTAAAAATTCTTGATAAATTATGGAAGCATTATTAGCTTGTTGTCATGCATCTCAAGCTACACACACACACACACACACACACACACACACACACACACACACACACACACACACACACTTCAACACACAGCTTGGATTTGTCCATCACAGTTGTTAACAGCATGGACTGTAAGCGAAACTGTGAAATGTTTGCTTTTTGGCATTGTCACTTTCCCCAGTCTTCGGTTTTTTTCTTTTTGGCATCAATTTATCACCTTTAACCCTCACAATCTGAAGGTCTTCGGTGTCCTCCATTTATCTTTTCAATCAGACTTAGAAATTATCTACTGTCAGTTAACAGAATGATTAGTGGATTGCACTTTAATATAATGGCTTTAATATAATGGAGTAACTTCCCTCAGTATTATTTTAGCCAAATAGAATCTTTATATCCTATCCCCTGTTATCTTCCCTCCTAGAATCTATTCCAGTGATTTGTATGTTATTTTTAATTACAACATTTTTATGACAAATTGTGATGTTAAAATGTGTCATTTTCATTAATAAAAGTATTACTGTACTATTAACGAAAAAGTGATTTACTATAATAAAGGACAATGCTGAGAGAGGGGATGAAAAATTTCTTAAACTCTAGACCTTTTGAGACCAAACCTCTGGGAGTTTGTGTTATTTGTTCAAATTATACCCATGGTAATATGAAAAGATAAATCCACATAAATCCTAAAATTTGAGCTCAGCCCAAGCCTTGGAATTATTTTTGCAAGTAAGGATCCTTTGCCAAGAAATCCTTTCTGGTTCTTAATCTGGTTTTAGTCAGCTTCTGGATGCAGAGAAGCATGTTTAATGCAGGTATAAATGGTTAGTCAATTCCTCAGGCATCCATATTTCTTCATTTTCCTTGTTAAGATCTTGGTAATAATCCAACCCAAGAAATAGAATTGAAACCAGGCTGCATATGTATGAGAAGTATTCTTCATTGAACTAAAATTGAACCTAAGCTGCCATTTTTGAAGTTTTTGTTAAAAGCCAACTAAAATTAAGTCATGAGAAAAATATTCCTAGTCACATTTTCTGAGGCAAACTGATTCAAGCCAATCTTAATTGCATTATACGTAAATATTACATCAACTTTTTTCTACGCCAGATATGGAAAATAAAAATTGCCCTATTTTAAGTTGCAACAACCCCCTGTACCATCAGCTCTCCCTAAACTACTTTTCTGGTTTATTTTTCCTCAAAGCACTTACCACAACTTGAAAAACTATGTATTTTACTTATGTATTTCATTTATTGTCTGTCTTCTCCCTTGGAATGTAAGCTCCATGAAGGCATGGGGTTGAGTCTGTTTGGTCACTGCCATATACCCAGGGCTTAGAAAATTACTCACACATAATATGCATGTAACAAATACTATCGAATGAAGCAGCTGGCACAATTCATTGTATAGACCAACCAAAACATTTACCTC